GGTGACAACTAAAACCCATTTTTCTATCAGACAAGAGTAGTCAAGAGATGTTTAATGGCTGCCTTCCCTCTTGTCTGTCAGTTTAAAATTAGGAACGACTATGTGCAAATAGTTCTTTGTATAACTTTGCACAATTATTCTAAAACAAAAACATTAATTTAGGCATACGCACATGACCATCAAATGACAAGATAGTCCTTGGTAGCTGGTAGTGGTAATTCTTCATATGTTCAACGACAAACTCAACTTTTAACAAATAATAATTATCAATGCACTGTAGCTTACATTATACTTTTTTAAATGATGAAACTTGTAATAAAAAGCTAGAAGTGTGCTCTTTTAAAATTAGTTTGTTGTATTTACGCGCAAATCTATATATTGTTATATCTATCTGGGATCGAGTCCCGAATTTTAGTGTTAAAAACTCTCAAGCTTATTGCTAAGCCTTAGATAGTAATTTTGAAAACTCACATGCTCCAAAACTTGATTTGGAATTGCACAACATGCATGAAAGCAAACAACGGCGAAAAGAAAATTAACTTGACTTATCTCTATGCTCTAAGGTTCAAACAGATATATTCAGTTTCAGAAAGTTAATCTTATACATTAAAACTGCTCAAAATATAAAACTTGTTTTCCGTACCTTGTAGACTCAACTCTTCTTTCAAACGACTAAACTATAATACTTATCCACAAAAGATGCTTCTTCAATCCGAGGTTTCTATACTAACGTGTACAATGTAAAGACATCATCAGCATTTGATCGGGCGTCTGGCAATTCTTTCAGAGTCAACATTTCAGTGGCACGCTACACCAAATTATTAGTTTAAATGTTGTTGTCTTGGATGTTTGTTGAAACTTGTAAGTTAGTAATCGTTCTGAATAAAGGGTGCATAAACGATCTGGCTAAACTGGATTGTAAAAATTAAGCGTGTTTACCGTTTAAGTGTTTTTATTCGAGGTTTATTGATTAATGTACCACAGATAAGGAAATAACTTTAAAAACAAGACGCAGCGAAAAATAATTAACTCTATAAATCTAACGTTGAAGTGCAATTGTTCATTTAATGTCAAAATATTTAACAGAAGTTTGTTTGAGTGTTTTAGAACAAAGCTACATTTTGTCATCTGCTCTGTCTACCGCGGGGAATTGAACCCCGGATCTTAGTGTTGGAAGTCCGTAAACTTACCGCTGTCCCACCGGAGAACTTAACAGAAATTAAAGAAACAAGTAAAGATAAAAGCATTGTGTTCATCATGGGATTATCATTATCAAATGAAAAGTCTGTAAAATCTAAAATATTTTTATTCCAAGCTCACGGTTTTCTTTCTATGTATATATAATACAGATATAAAACAGGGGTCTAAATCATTGTTGGTATTAACATTATTCATAACTTTACAACAAGGATTAAGAGTATACTTGTGATACAACAGAGCTCTATTCTTTTGGAGGATCTAAGTAAAATAAAAAACATTGATTTTATATTCTCAGCAGTAGTGTCGATAAATGATATGGACACATAGTTGTATATATATTATTCATGCGTGTTTTATTTATGTAGATGATGGAGCATAACAACAGATATAGATGTAAAAAAGAATTAGAATTACTCATTGATCTTCTGACAACGAGAGTTAGTGATTTAAATCTGTGCGAAAATATGATTGCGAAAATACACTGTTCATCCCAAGCTGTAAATACACATAGTGTATATTCTCCACCTCACCCCACCCCAATAAATATAGGGTTCAGTACGGATGCTTATGATTCAATATTTGGCATGACATCCATTAGTCCTAGTAAATTTTGATTTTAAAACAAGTAGCAAAACGTGTTAGTCCTAAACTTACTGTTGATTACAATAGTACTGGTTAACAAATTTTTATTCTGTGTCTTACAAAAGATATTGTGAAGTTTGTTGCCTCTCCCAACTTGAATCCAAACACCCAAGTGATTTTTTTTTATCACGTCTAGATTCCTAGAAACCAAACTTTTGGGTAATCATGATTATATAGAAACAAAATTATAAACAAAGCAGCCTTTTGACAAACAATTTATTGATTATATTAAAACAAAGTTCAAATAAAGCAGTTTGGTGACTAAATTTGATTTTACAGTGTACAGTAAGGCACATACGTGTTGTGGGAGCGAGTTCGGTAAATATTACGAATTCAAAATAGAGCGTCTTTTTCTGAACACTTCATAGAAAACATTTCACTGTTTGACAAATGTATATAACATTTCATCAATGTTTTATTGGCTAGAATGTAAATTTTGTATGTGCATTAAGTTTGTTTGTTTGAATTTCGCGCAAAGCTACACGAGGGCTATCTACGCTAGCCGTCCCTAATTTAGCAGTGCAAGACTAGAGGGAAGGTAGCTAGTCCTCACCACCCACCGCCAACTCTTGGCCTACTCTTTTACCAACGAATAGTTGGATTGACCGTCACTTTATAACGCCCCCCACGGCTGAAAGGGCGAGCATGTTTGGTGTGACGGGAATTCGAGATTGCGTGTCGAGCGCCCTAATCACATGGCCATGCCGGGCCCGTGCATTAAGTACACTAAATAAGCAATTTATATTATAAACCCTGCAACTATGTATGTGTATATTTTGAAAACTGTACGTGATACAAAGAAACCAAATACATTTTCTTCAATGTCTTCTTATACATGCCAGCGCAGTATGTCCGCGGATTTACAACGCTAGAAACCGAGTTTCGATACCCTTGGTGGGCAGAGCACAGATAGCCCATTGTGTAGCTATGTGCTTACCTTCAAACAAACAAACAATTATTTTTTAAAACGGGTTTGATGGAACGATGTGATAGATCTTTGAAAATTTAAACATAACATAATGTTTAGGGACAACAAAGGACCTATTGGTCCATCTCGGCTGTCCCATCCTCTAAACTAAACTAAAACTTTTAAATAAATAAATTGAAAAAAAAATTTAAAGCCAGCCCTTACTTATCATTCATATAATTAGCAAGCTTTCTTTTAAGCTAACTTAAATTGACTGTCTCCGCAACATCCGAAGTCAACCCATTCCAGAGGTCAATCATACTGTTAGAAAAAAAAAACTATTTTACCTGAAGATGTCTCCTACCTTCCCAAAATTTATGTTTGCGTCACCTACTATCGCCGTTAAGTATGAAAAATGACGATACATCAACACTATCAATTCCCTTTACAATCCTAAACACCTCAATAAGATCTCCTCTTACTCTTCTTTTTTCAAGAGAAAACAATTTCAGAGATCTTAATATATCCTCATATGATAATCCCTCCATCCCAAGCACCATTCTAGTAACCCTCCTCTGAACCCTTTCAAACATTTCAATGCTCTTCCTAAGGTAAGGAGCCCAAAACTAAAACACAATACCCCAAATGTGGGCTAACCAGTAACCTATACAACGAAATTATAACTTCTTTAGACTTGTATTCACTGTATTTCTGTAGATATTTGCCCTTCCACTAGCAACAGCACATTGATTGGATGGCTTAAGAGACAGATCAACCATTACATCAAAATCACTTTCTTTCATCACACTGCTAAAGTTATTCCTATCCAAATTATACTTATAATTAAAATTATGATAACCCACATGCATTACTGTGCATTTATTATATTAAAACTCATCTGCCATTTATTTGCCCAACACACCCACATATCTAATCCTTAACTTCCTTCAAAACCCTTGGGAAATATTATCTAGCCCAGGAGCCTTATCCTTGTTTAAACTTCCCAAATTTTCTTCACAAGCTCAGAATTAATGCAATCATTTTGTTCGATCTCGTTTCCATCTATCAACTGTTCAAGATGTGGAATACTGCTTAAATTTTCATTAGTAAAAACTGAAGAAAACAGAATTTAATAACCCAAACAAACCTTCCTTTATCATCCCTCAAGGGTCTTACCCCTATCCTAACATTTTGTTTACCTTTAATGTATTTAAATAAATTCTTACTGTTAATTATTATATTTTCAGCCAACTTTTTTGACGTCCTAATTTCCTGTTTGACTAATTTCCTTGATATCCTATGATCTTCTAAATCTCCTGTCGTACCAGTCAATTTAAAGTTCTTAAATTTGTGATGCTTTTCTTTAGTTTTATCTTTTATACCCTTTGTGATCCAATCTGAATTTGTACTTGTAGCCATCCTTTTCTTTCTTTAAGGAATACGTTTATCTTGACTATTTAAAAAATTTTCCATATTTGATCATTCTCTCCAAATAGCTGGTCTTCCAGTGTTTTTTTCTTTATCTGATTCTGCTGACGGTGTGCCATCTATTGGAATTATTTGTAATTAAGGTTTATTGTCACTAGCTTTTCTTATTTCCAAAATATATCTTTATCCAGAAAAAGAAAAGAAAAATAACATAAACATATTGTGCACAATAGTGTTTTTGATCAAATGTGCGTTGCTTTTGACTAACCAAGGATTACTAATGAGACTAGTTCTCAATTTAGTCTAAACAAAGGATTGAGTAGTAAGTTAAGATAACCTAATACTTTTCTGTTTATTTGACAAGCAGTTGATATCAACAAACATAAATAAAGTATTTTTTCAGACCTTTAGGCATGTGTTTATTTTATAAGTGATAAATATGTTTAACATTTGTTTCTTAGGTATGCATTTTACTATTATAAAATTTAATGAGTGTAAGCGTTGAGAATTTACAGAAATTATTGCCATCAGTGAGTTTTTTTATTTCAAGTGTATCAACCTGTAGAAAATATAGTACTAGTTTGCACTATTTTCTTTATATTCTACCTGAGCTAAATATCCAATATTTAAACAAGCTGTTGTAGAAATCAGAATGTATTATCGAAACCTGTTGTTTTCTATTTCACCATAACCCAGCCACAGTTAAAGTTTGCAGACGATGTGTGTACTATTAATGCTTTTTTGTAACATAGGTATTGTTTTTAATTTATTCAAATTCAGATTTTATACGCAATGTTAATAGATCTTTTTCCTTAACCCATAGGAACATAGCCACAAGTCCTACAGACCTCTGTGTGTCCTAACATTTAGGCTTAACTATATGTTAAGTGAATTGGAACCTATGAGTTACCATTTAGTAAATGTCATTCTACATATTTCTGTCTGTTTTCTTTATCTTAGGTAAGTTTATGAATAGTATATCTAGTTTTCGTATATGGTAGTTTAATTACTTGTAAGATTCGTATGTAAATACTGTGATTTCTTTTTAAGAGTAATCAAATTTCCAAAACTATTTATGCAGTCACTTGTACTTTACTGTAGTTTACAAAATTACATTCAGATGTCTATTTTAAATAAATCCACATATGTATTTTGTACTGAGGACCTTCTCATTTGTGATATCGCTTATAGAAAATACACATATTGTGAATGAAATAATAACAGTTTGTAAATATGAGAAAATATGTTTCTTACAAATGTAGTTTCTCGTCATTACCACCATTTTTATGGTGAGTTTTTGGAAAGACATCTGAAAAGATTAAAATGATAATTTAGTCGTTATACATATGTTTGTAGTTTGATTTTCGTTTATTGTTACACTTATAAATTAAACATGTGTCTATATTTGCTCAGTTTATACCTGTGCATACATTGTCATTTTGTTATATTTCATAACAAAAATAAAACAAATATTGTTGGTTTTGACAAAAGCATGGTTGTAAACTAAAAGTAACAAAATTTAAATTAATTTTATTCTAACATTAAATAGATGTACTCTGTGTGACAAAACATTACCTTGGCTTTTATATATATTTACTCTGTGTGACGGAATATTACTATGGTTATAAATATATTTGCTCTGTGTGACTGAACATTACTTTGGCTGTAAATATATTTGCTCTCTGTGACTAAACATTACTTTGGTTGTAAATATATTTGCTCTCTGTGACTAAACATTACTTTGGTTGTAAATATATTTGCTTTCTGTGACTGAGCGTTACTCTGGCTGTAAATATATATTTTCTGTCTGTCACTGATGATATTTTGGCTATAAATATATATATATGCTGCTTGTTACTGAATAATGATCTCTACCTATAAGTATACTTGCTTATTTTGACTGAGTGTTACTCAAGCTGTGAATATAGCTGCTGACTGTAACTGTCAGAAATTAAGTTATGTTCGCCAGTTGTCAATTAAGGGCTTTTACTTGTACTTCTTAATAGTATAAATATATACTGTGTTATTGTTGTTAGGCTTAGGATTCTTGTACAGAAGGTATCTATGACTTGTCGATAAATTCAACGATAAATGAAGAGCACGCACTCTACTTGTTTTCAAAATGATATATATATACACGAACTGGTTAAACGCATGTACAACAAATTCTTTACACTATAGAGATCATACGTATATCATAAACACTATATGGTTCTCTTCTCTTGTCAAAAGTTCACTTAGGTTTACTCAATTACTTTAGAATTTCAGTTGACAAGCCGAACTACCTTTCCCTATTTCTATCGCACTAGTATTCTGTGTATCATTCACTTAAAATTGGGGCGGGAGTTACCGTAATCGTATACTGCTCTTCCAGTAATTGTTTGGACTTCTTTCTTCAAAATATCTTCTGTTCCTTTTGTCAAAGTGCTCTCAGGCTGATTCATTTACTTTAGAACAATACTTTGATGGAATAAATTATTCTTCTTATCTCCTTTTCTACTGTTAGTCTTACTCTAGAGTTTGACTGTTTGATTTTATTCTTTGCTGGCGTCCCTTCACCAAGGATCAATGGGTCATACGGGTTTTGTCAGAAGGATTCGTTTTCCAGTTTCTTTACCCTCCTCCTCTCTCTCCTTTCCCCATTTCCTTTCCTCTTCCTCCAGATCCCGTGGCGTGCCAGCATCTGTCAACGGCGGTTCAAAAATTGCTTTTGCAGCAGGCTATCGAACCAGTCAGCCACCCTTCTGGGTTTTTTATTCCTGTCTTTTCATGGTCCCCAAGAAAACTGGGGATCGACGGCTGGTTATCGATTTATCTTACCTCAACCACTTCATTGCACTTCTGAAGTTTACCATTGAGTCTTTTCTCACACTGAAATGGGCGTTTTCGCCAGGAATGTGAATGATGAAAATGGCTGTCTCCAAAGCTTACTTTCTCATCCCGACTGCCCAGCAGTCTCGACCTTATCTTTGATTTGTCCATCTCGGTGTGGTTTACCAATTTCGAGCCCCTACTTTCTGACTCGCATTGGCTCCTTATGTGTTTTGTCCCATCATCCAAGTGTTTGCTCGTCATCTTCATGCTCTGGGGGTGCAATTTCATTATTGCATGAATGAATGGCTCCTTCTGGCTCATTCCAAACAGGAATAAATCACTCATACCCACCAACTCCTTTCTGTGGCAGCTTTAGTGGGCTGGTTGATCAAACTTGAGAAGCCATTCCTTTGACCTACACAATACTTGGTTCATCTAGGGGTCTTTTTCGACACCAATATCAGTCATGCCATGTCTTCTCCTTTACTTTTAGTTCACCGAGCCCTCTCAACTTGGTCACTTACTGCTTGTGGGGTTCTATCACTTTTGGGAATGTGGTCCTCCATGACTGCACTTATCCCTTTGGTTGAGCACAAATGAGACACCTGCAATGGGCACTTCATGAGAGATGGAACCTTACTCGAGATGTTCTTTCCACCATCATCTCCATTCCTCCTTCCCTGTGTAATGATCTGCACTGGTGGCTGAACAAAGTTCTTATGTTGATGGGCATACCACTTCCCACCCCCATCTGGATCTACATTTGTTCACAGATGCATCCCTTCAAGGTTGGGGGCATGTATCAATCACTAGGAAGCCCTATCCCATACCTTCCGTTTTTTCAGATACCATAATGTTTTTCTTTCTCCTGGTCTTAATGGGCTCATGCATTCCTCCAGGAATTGATGGCTGCCGAGATGTCCTGCTCTTTTGGATTGGGACATGTGGTTCTCCATGCCCTGACTTTACCTTTGTTTGAACCACTTTCCTCGTGCTCCTTGTTTCATCTGTTCCTTAGAACTCATTTCCTTCTTCTGTTGGCCTGTGGATGTCCCATACCTTCCATTTTTCCAGATATCATAAGGTTTTCTCTTCTCCTGGTCTTACTGGGCTCATGCATTCGTTCAGGATTCGACAGCTGCTAAGATGTCTTGCCCTTCCAGATTGGGACATTAATGTGGCCTTCCATGCCCTCACTTTACCTCCATTTGAACCACTTTCCTCGTGCTCTTTGTTTCATCTGTCCCATAAAACTTATTTCCTTCTTCCATTGGTCTGTGGTTGTTGATGGTCAGATCTGTTTCCAATAGACTTATCACATACCCTTTATCACTCTACCTATCTTCTCCTTTATCCTGATCTTTCCTTTCTCCCTAAAACCTCGACAGCTTGGAAGGGTTGTAAATCCTTTTCTCCTATTTCCCTGCTTTTTATATCCCATCTTTACCCTCATCCAGATCCGGATAGAATTCTGTGTCTGGTCGGGGCCATTTGTTATTATACCGCCCATATTGCATCTTTTTGTGGTATGCACAACCATCTATTCATCTCATGGCAATCCTCCTCCCTTTGTGATCTTTTCCTTTCTACTCTTATTTATTGGGTCTACCTTTTGATTTGTTTTGCCTATTCTTCCCTGTCTTCTTCCTCCCATATCTTGTTCCATGCTTCCTCCCATCAACTTTTCCTTCGCTTCTCGTCTTCATTGTCCAATGGAGGAGATTCTCTAATCTGGCATGTGGACTACTCCCAGTAGGTTCATTTCCCACTGTCTTCATTGTATCGTGCTTTCATCTGCATCTAGGTTTTGTCTACCACCTGTGGCTGTTCTCCAGACTTCAGTGCGACTTTGACTAGTACGTTTTCTCCATTTTCGTTTTTTTCAGTGGCCTTTTCTCTCTCTTTTTATCATGGATCCCACTCTGTGGCAAGTGGTGCCCGTCCAGGTATTTGTAACTCTAAATCTGCACTGTCCACCATGTTAACTCGCACTTTCTAGTCCATGGCTATGCACAGTCACCATAGGGATGGGGTGTTCCACAAGATCACTTGTAGGTGACTAACCTCGTGATGTCATTGCTTCATAAACATGCCCATCACAAACCATACCACTCATGGACTACATGGGTAAAGCAAAAGGGGATTGCTACCCATCCCTGCCATGCATCGCGTGAATAACTAGGTATGGTCTGCTTTTAAAAATTGGGTTTTTTGGTCACCCATTACCCTGTCATTGCATAGTCACCCTCCTTTCTTCAAGTGGAGTATGGAAGTCCTTGCCACTTTCAGTTCCAAGCTGTTAGGGTGGTGGACCATGAAGGTACCCTCCTGAATGAGTTCCCCAGACCATTCATTTGAGAGTATAGCAGTGGTGTTCTGCTGGTATAGATATGATGTGGTCTCCAGAGAAGTTGAGCTGTCACCTTGCTGGTTGACATGGCCTCCTGATCATGTTAAACACCAACACTGGAGTTTAGCCATCTCCTTTTAGGATGATGTGGCCACCCACTACCATTTACACATCCAATGGAGTTGAGCCATCGCCTTCTAGTTGATGTGGCCTCCTACTCACATTTACACAACTAATGGAGTGGAGCCGTCACTTTCTGGTTGAAGTGTCCTCCTTATCTCTATTACACTTGTAAGAATTGAGCTGTCGCCTTTTAGGTTGATGTGGCCTCCTGCTACTATTTACAAAACCAGGGGAGTAAAGCCATCACTTGTGAGATGATGTTGCCTCCCACTTCCTTTTACACATCAATTGTAGTTGAGCCATCCCCTTATGGGATGGCATGGCCTCCTGATACACTTCACTTTCACACTGGAGTTTAGCCATTGCACTTGCAGTTCACCCTTCGATTGGGTGCCCTCATCCTACCTTCACGTGGATGTTGATTCCCGGTTTTGAGATTTTGGATTAGAGTAAACCAATGAACATAATCTTCCCACAGAGGCAGGTTGTCTCTCTTCCTCCCTCAATTACTCCATCTGTATCTTTCATCACTGCATAGTTAGTGGGGTGGTTCTGGTGCTCTCCTGGACTATCCCTTGTTCTTCTTATGGGGATGTTATTGTCTTTGGATGATACTGGCCTGTACCATGGTTGGAGGAGTTGATTTCACTTGAAGTACATCTTGTCACCATGACATACCCAGATATCTGTGTTGGTCTTAAAACCCCGATTTTTGGTTTTGAAGTGAAGATAATATGATCCTCATCCTACTCCTGCGTGTATGTCAGTGCGGGGAAGTTTTGGATGTAGTTGACTTACCGAGTATGGTCTGACGTGCCCTAGCCACTCTACACCTTACATTTCTGCCCTTGTGCATGTCACACTGTCCACAAGGATGAAGAGTATACCTGGCTCAGAAGTAGTGTGGTTCCCCTCTGATCTTCGGATCTCCATCTCTTAGGTTCAGAAGTATCCTTCAGATGTTTTTGGGGTGCTTATTTTGTTCTCTTGCAACCAGCGGTCCTTCCTTTTCAATGTAGGATTCTAGCTAATCTTGTGAAAGGAGGTAAGTACCATATCGAAAGTTATAATTTTCCTGTACTGAAAATGTATTTCCGATAGGTACTTCCTTCCTCTCACACTTCTCACTTCAGTAGAGGGGTGTAGAGGGAGCCACATGCATCACGTGAGCATCTCAGGCTACTATTGGTTAAAAGAGGATGCATGATGATTTGCATGAGAGACATGTTGGAACATGATATTTCCAACAGAGGGGGTGCGCAAGGCTCGTGGCATGGTATGAAAAGTTTGCAGCACTGAACGAGAATAGCTAATCTTATGAAAGGAGGTAAGTACCTACCAGAAATACATTTTCAGTATAGGAAAATTATAAAATGTTACCCTGAATCAGTATTTTGAAAATGTTTTAAATACTCTTGTTATAATTCATATTCCTATAAAATGATGAAAACTTCCTCAAATAGGAAAATTTCTTACCATTTTCCTGATTATTTTTTGTCAGATTTACTACTGCTTGATTTATTACTGTGATACTATTTATGTGTGAAATGGGTTTTGAATAAAGAAACTAAAGATAAGGAAAACAAGTTATTTTCAAACATTTATCCCAGCATATTCTGACAACAAGAAATAGTTTGGAAGAAATGTGAAGTTCAGTATGTTGATATCTTATGCAACCTAAATGAATATGCAAATTTTAAGTATATACATTTTATATTTAACAGTTAGATTTTATTTACTCATAGGATGTAAATTACACTATTTTTGGTGAAATGAGAACTGAACCAACTGGTATGCAAGCCTTACAAGTAGGATATCCTCATAGTTTTGGATGATGTGAAATTAACATTGAAAACAGAAGAATATATAGATGTAGCATTTATATAAATGTTAACATGTTTGAAGTTTTTTGCTCTATAGTTTAAGGACTGAAAAATATTTCTATTTTTTTTATATTGAACACTTGAATGTCTTAGTAGATGCAAGGTCACAACTGTTTCATCACCATTATAGCAATCTACAATATATAAAATGTTTATTAGTTTCAATAGATCTTATTGGTTATAATGTTTAAAATAACTTGAATATTTTTCAAATTTTATTATATACACATGAAAGAAAATATTTAGCACTGTTATGCAAAATATGGTTTCAAACTAATTAATACTCCTAAATTGCACTGAACCTTAATGATATTACATCTAAAAAATATTGTTAACAGCATTGTAAACCAACTAACACTCCACTGGACCCTGATTATTATGCATTTTAGTTTTCTGGTATACTGTTTTATCACAGTATTTTTACTCTGTTTATTATACAGGACTGTGTTCATTAATTTATATGGTACTGTTGCGTCAGCGAGGTCACGTGACTAGTATCACGCCACCTATTTCTAGAAATA